AGGTTAAATTCGCAAGCGTTTTTATTAACTGAGAACGACGGTTAACAACACATAAAATTAGTTGTCGAAATTAATGGATAGTTATCGGGCTATAAAAATTTAGCGGTTACCGAAATTGTTCAAGTTTATGAAATTTACAAAGTTCTCGATATTTATTAAATTATCATTATTTATTGAGCTAACGAAATTTATCGAGTTATCGTACTGCATCGATTTAGTGAAATTTGTCGATTTATCATAATCTCAAGGTTATATAATTTTATCGAGTTATCACTGCTTACCGAATTTTATTGTGTTACCATAGAGTCGATTGATTTTTCGATCCCTTGAAACGCACAGTTATCGAAATTTGTAGAAATTAGCCGAGTTATAGATTTTTTTTATTTACAGGATTTTATTGTTATTAAAATTCACTGAATTATCGCTCTGTATCAAATTATGGAAATTTATCGACAAACTGGAATGTATCGGATCAATTACAAGTCCTGCCAAAGTCCTACAAGAACTTCAAAGATATAAAAAATTGTAGTGACGTTTTAGTTCCAAAGTAGGAGATTTTCCGGTAAGTAATTTTGTACCTTATAAGTTAAACGACGTGCTAAGTTAGAAAACCACTACAACAGTTTTAAAATAGTAATAGAGTCTTATTAGTTGTTTGTTCTTTTTTACTCTTTCTTAAACATGACATTGAAATCCCTGAACTACTAAATCAAATCTATTCACGTTCTATGTATATTAAATCAATGTACTTGCCATTTGTCATATCGCACCAATAACCTTGTCATTTAAAATTTACAACATCCTCTCCAAGCTTGACTGACAGCATTCGCAGTAACAAATCTTTTACCTCACGGATTTCCTGCTGGGCCACTTTGTGCATGGGCCGTGTGTGGAGCAGTTTTAAATGAAAATTGCCGTTTAGAGCAGTGCCATTTTTGGCTATAAATCACTCAACTAAAGCTGCTATAACCAAAAAGACAATCACAGCATTCACTGACCGGTCCATTGTGTCTGCAATATATATATGCCTAGGCAACTTTTAGGTGTGTTGGTGTAACGCTATGTGTGTAGGTGGAGTGTTTACAGCTTTTCTGTGCGCATTGTTTTGGAATGTGAATGTGAAACCTAATCAAGCATCCAGCACATAAAATCCAAAAGTGAACAAAAGTCGCTTCACATTTGCTACAATGCACACACTGGTACACTCTCTCACTCACATATTCTACCGAACTACATACATTCGTGTGGCAGCTTTAAAAATCATTGACTTTTACATTGCCTTCATCTCTTGCTCTACTCTACTTACCATCTTCCATGGTGCGTATACGTTTCGAATTGGATGGTTTGCCTACGATGCTCTTGTAAAATGGCACAAGAAAAAACTCATACATGCTCGCCTTCTCCAATCCATTTACGGTGCATGCCGTCGCACCACTGCCCGCATTCAATATGGTCATCATTTTGTACTCAGCCGAGTGTAATTCACGCGCATAAATGTAGAATCCCTCGATGTACTGACCGCTGTCAATGTCCCAAGCGAGGCGTACTGTTGTCGAATCGGTGGCATTGGCCTCCAACAGCTCGACCATGTCGCTTGTCTGCAGCACAGCTTCCGCTTCATTGAGTAGCAGTTCGGATGTGACTGCGCCTCCACCAGCACCGCCACCAATACCACCACCCCCACCTGTGGAGCCACCACCAATCCTACTGCCGGCACCGACTAATTTTCCCGCCGTAATTGGCTCTGAAATGGGACTAGGCGGCGAGAAACCGTGCGCATTCTCTGCGCGCACAATAAACATATACGCCGCTCCACTACTGAGGCCTTCAACCATGAAAATGGGTTCACTCAAGCGTGCGGCAATGGGAATCCACGTCTTACTCTTGTTCGTCGAGTACATTTCGACTGTGTAGCCAAGGAGTGGAGAAGCACCTGCCTTATAGCTCGTCGGCCAGACAATGGTAAGTGCATTGGCGGAGGCATGCAGCACTGTGGGTTGACCGGGCGCATTCGGACATTTGGTTCGCTCGGGTGCGCGGTAGAATTTAATATTCGGATTGGTGGGCACTTCGATGCGCAAGTAGCCACTCCACGTGGACTTGCCGGTGCGGCTGCTTGCCACACATGTATACAAACCCTGATCCTCTTTGCGGTCCAAGTCGGAAATTATCAAATCGCCGGCTGCTGTGATGTTCACCTTCGCATTCGGATGCACGGGTATGCCGTCACGATACCAGGAAATCGTTGGATTTGGCAAACCAATAGCCTTGCATTGCAGCGTGGCCATCGACTTAACAGGCAGCGTCTGATTGACCGGACCTGAAATGATAATGGGCGGCGGTCGGTCTTCTTGCGAGTCGAGTGTGAGCTGTGCACGCGCCGTTATAGTTGCCACTTCATTCATTGCATTGCAAACCACAACTAAATCGCGGTCGGTGCGTTGAAAATTTGTCAGCGTCAATATCGAATGGCCCTCCTCGGTGTTTAAGCTCTGGAAACGATCGAGTTTCGGCGCACCAGGAAATATAATCGTGCGATTATTTTTTATTGTCCAGAAGAGCGTAGGTCGCGGGTTGCCACTTGCGCGGCATTCAAACGAAGTGTCCGCACCCAGCTCGATTGACTTGCTAGTCGGTCGCTGTATGAACTTGGGAGGTGCTGTAGTTAGGCGTACGAGTTGCAGGGAACGGTAGTGCAGCGTTGGTTTTAACGGATATTTTTGGAATAACAAATACAAATATAATTGGCGCATAAGTCGGTTTCGTGTGCAAAGGTTGCTAGCAGCTAAAATTTCTAGATATCTTAAATGAAAGGAATATTCTTACTTACCATACACTGTTAGCGTGCCCATGGTGGAAATCGCGCCGACCACATTGTCCGCCTCACAGCTGTACTCGCCTTCGTCGGCAATGGTGACGCGTTCCAGACGCAAGCTGCGATCTTCTAGTACGCTGACGCGATCTGCGTGAAAAGGAAGAAAGAAATTAAAACCGACCAAACCAAATCAGAAACTTAAGAGATAGCAAAATAATTATTAAATTGTTTATCCTGGTTGAGAAATTTCCTTAGTTAGTTAATACATGCTTTTAACTGAGCGAGTCATACTTTGACCGGCACTGTTCCCAAATAAATACTTAGTGCCCCTTTTTAAACAAAATTGATAAATGAACAGGGTTAGACTGTACTGGAATTGTGACATAGAAATATTTTTTCTTCACCAAGTCCGAAAATTGCTCAAAAATTATTTGGTTTAATGTCTCCTAGTTTCACAATAAAGGCAGCAGCTAGGCGCGGGGGATATACCAATCCGATGCTAACACGGTGGCAGTCAGTTGGTTGTAAGTGGTTAGACATTCAGGGAGTAACTTGATGAACCTGACCTGTTTTGGGCTCCCTTCCACACCATCAGTGCTTACTGAGTTTTATGTTTACCTGCTAAATAATTCGAAGTTTCGAAGAGTAAAAACTAAGTCCAATATGTGGGAACAAACCTGTGATTGACGGACTTTCTTTCGGCGGCGTGTTATCGCCCTAAAAACCTGTTACAGGGATCTTACTTTTCTGCTGCCCGAAGAAAGGGTCCCGAAGACTGCTTGGCATACTTAAAGCGATAACTAGTTAGTATAATTAGGCCTCTTAACCCCTCCACAAAACTGATTCAAATATTTATTTTTTTCCCTTGAATACTGTAATCGAGGGTCTTGTAATTTTTGTGGAATGTAATATGGCAGGAATTTTTCAAACCAAAGGCAGAAAACTTCTTCTAATTTTAAAGAACTTTCATCGCTGTCGTCAAGCTCAAACAATGGGAAGTAGCCCAAGAAGTGTGCTACTCCGACTGGGTTTGTCCATAGGGACACGGGCGTTAGTTGAGTGGGGTTTAGGGGGCATGCGAATAGGTGTCGCGAGTTGTAAGGTGACTCTCCGCATGTCGGGCACTCATTGGGCCCATCTGTATTTATCCTACTCAAGTAGGAATTCAGCCTGCTGCTGTAGCCAGAATGAAGGGCTATAGTGGCGCGAGTCTCACGAGGCAGACGAAACTTTTTCTCCTCCACGTTAGATAGTCGTATTCCCAAAATATCATTCGCAGGACGAGAGTCGGTGTAAGTCGAGACCGACTCACTGGGAATACCGTTTATGGCCTACCGGTAGGCTGAAGCTTCGTCCCCTGGTTCTTGTTAGTCCGGCCGATTGCCTTGTATGTTACCAACCACATTTGTTTGTCTTTGCACCAGTTGCTGCCGGCTGACGATTTGAGGACCTTGTTGCGCCTATGTACTCTTGTGACAATTTCGGTTGTATGCGAAGGGAAGAAGAGCAGACTATCGAAGGGTATTTCGAGAATTTTCTGGCTATTCACCATTGGAATTAGTTCGTCATCAACGTAAATTCCTAGATGTAGTCTGACCTCCTCCATCCAGGTGGTAAAAAGGGTTGCCGAAGAGTTCCGAATCGTAACCATTTACTTTCGAGCACAAGTCATAAATTCCAGGACGCCATTACCGAGCAGGCGTCAGCATAAGAGACAATAGAGATTCCCTCCTCTGGTTGAAGGAGCTCTGAGATGTAATAATTATACATCATATGCGAAAGGACACCACCCTGTGAGACTCTTGTTTAATTTTGCTGGTTTTGTGTTTATGAGGTTAGGTGCTGTTGTTGTGCTGCGCACTTTACGGAACCCATGTTGACGCCTCGCTGACTTTTATTTGGCGAAGGAAATATTATTGAAACTTGGAATCCCTCTTCAAACATGCAAACATCTACTAAATGAAAAATTCATAGAAGTTGCCAATGAAAGATGGCGAATGGAACCGACCTGTCACAGGACATTCGCATAGTGACTGGAGTTCTCACCGGGCATTGTCTGATTAGATTACATGCAGCTAGACTGGGCGCACCCTGGAACGACTACTGCAGAAGCTGCAAGGATGAAGACGAAGGGGAAATCATCCCACATCTTCTCTGTCATTGCCCCGCTCTGTCAAGGCGGAGAGCAAAAGCTCTCGGGGCTATTTCTTCGACGATCTCGATGACCTCAAGGAGGTGAACGTCAGAAGCCTTTGCACATTCTTGCTAAGCACCAAGTGGTTTACAGGGGATGAGAAATAATTAAAAAACACTCATGCGGTATCACAAAGGAACCTGAGTCTAAGTGAGTCCTACTTCTAGATTGCCGCCTAACCTAACCTAACCCTAAACTCAGGAACAATGAAGCTCCCATTTCGATGCCATATTTTTCTTGGAAATAGCAAAATGCCTCCTTGGCCTTGTACTCATCCCGTTGATGCCCTATTGGAGTATTCTAACAGATCCAACCAAAGAAGCAAGTTCAGTTGGAACTACCTAAATGAAATGACATTACTATGAACCGATGAACGAGTTCCAGGACTACATATGACAATACATAGACCCGACTCTCTACAGACAGTCCATAAACACGATATTCGTCAAGAGACAATATCCACCTTTGCCAAGACTGACTCCGTGAACCTTTCCTGCGCCCTGTGCTTGACGAAAATTATTTAAGGATTAGCAGATTCTAGGGATGGCAAAGCAGAAGCTACAGCAACAACAATAAGATGGAAATCACACTCTACAAACTCTTTAATTTCTCAATTTTCTGCGATAAATTTAAGGCACATTGCAGCTTTATATTTACTGTAAAGAATTTTAAAGTATTTTCCTACTAATACACAGACAAATATGGGCATACTAGTACGTACCTAACAGCCAGAGAATTGGCTATCCTGTGCCATATTTTGCCAATCGCATTTCCACTTACCCAATGGCATGTTTCCACCGGATGCTGTGCGCAACCATAAAACATCTGGCATTGGATCACCGCCAACACGACAAGGAAACGTCACTGATGAGCCTTCCAGCACCGTTTGATCATGTGGGCCACGTATGATGAACGGTTTCACTGCAACGATAACGAAAACAAAAACACACAAATAAAAGTATGAAAGAAAGAAGAAATTCGTAGCAGGCATAAGCCTAGCATAAATCGAAGGCAAAAAAAAGGGAAAAGAAATAAAATTAATAAATACTGTAATAAAATAGGTAATGGCAGCGCTGGGAAAAGCAAACAGCCAAGAAACTGGAGCAAATTTAGCCATACATTTTGTGACTCAATCATAGAAATATTGTTTGTGGCCTACACATACAAATGTCTATTTGTAGGAGAGTGTATGCGCCCGCTTGCCACAAAATCGAACACATGACACATCCCACCATGCAAAACATGAGAAATAGGCAACAATCGTCAATGGCAATAAATTGGCGACTCACCGATTTATTGCTGTGGTGACAAATCGACAACATCACTTCGTTCATGTCAATTTTGAATAAAAAAGTTCTCAAAAATTCCGAAACTTATGAATATGGCGTCAATAGTATTGGCCAAAAGCATCTAAATTATGCCCAAGGACAAGATTGAAAAAATAGAAAGTCGCACAGCGAGAAAATGAATTAATTCCGATTGTAAGTTGCAATTTAGTACAAAAAAATAAATGAAGTATTAAAAAGAATAAAATTATTCCAAAAATCGCCTGAAGCGATAAGAAAAGGACTCATTCAGGTAATAAGAAAACGACTCGTCCAGGCGAGTTGCCTTCGGCGGACGTTTTAGAGCAACCGGTAATAGGAAATCGATTCGATGGCAATATTACCGGCAATAAATTTGTTTCCGAGGGCGACACGTTTTCTTATTGCTGGCAACACAAATTGTTTGGTGGGATTGGTTGGCAATCTAAGTCGTTGTGGCTGCCAGTTGTCAGTTGCCAAGTCAATTTCGTTGCCAATCAGCTGTTCAAATTGCCACAGCCAACGACAAGCGCACCGACACTTGCCTACATATATATGCACGTGAGGTGTTTGCTTTGCTGCCACAATTTATACATACTCGTAGCCCCTAGATACATATGTATGCATGTATGTATTTTTTTTATTTCATGCCACTACTCACCGTGCACCTTGAGCGTCGCCAACACAGATTCTCGTACGCCCACAGGATTCTTGGCAATGCACTGATATTGACCCTCGTCACTTTGACGTGCATCCTGTATGGCCAGATTACCGCCATCGACTATGCGTATACGCTTCGTACTATCCAAATCTAATTTCTGGCCACCTTTCTTCCATGTGACCGTCGGTTCGGGTAAGCCGCGCGGTGCGGCACATTCCAGCAACGCTGTGTTACCCTGTGCAATGCGAGTATTCTGTGGTTCCAGACGGAATTCGTCGCGCAGCACTGAAAGCAAGTAAGAGGATAAATAAAAATTAGTTTCTTTTTCATTCGGTTAAAAGGTGTTTAAATAAATTGTGGGGGAAAAATGTGTGCGTGAAATGTTAAACATGCTGTGGGTGCTTGGGAAACGAAGGATTAGACGTTAGCAAATTGTGTGAGAGACGATTAAGAAATGCCAAGAATACCAGAAAAAATGGCGAGACAGTTGAGAAAGGTCTTTGAGGGAGCTGAATTAATATGGAAGATATTGAAATGCTTGCCGTCTATGTTCGTCGTTAAAAGCTTTAAATAAGTGTTGTGGGAACTAGACGAAAGTGTTGAAAATTCAGTATTAATTACAGAAGGAAAACGGAGTAAATATAAAATATTTGGTTACTATATAGGATTTCCATCTTAAAAATATTGAGTTTCTTGAAGAAGAAGAAGGGAAGTCAAAATTTGAAAAAAGAAAGTCCTTCCAAATGCTATGGCATTTCTAATACATATACCATTTATGGGACCACATTAAGAATTTGGCTTTGCAAATTGAATTTGGTTTGGCAAATTATTAGGCGAATCAGTTACATATGTACTTAAATGGGTTGGGTTAGAAGTTAAACATGATTTTCATTTGATTTTATTCATTTAGCCAGGTCCAGTCGAAGATTTTTCATAACCACTTGGGGAAAAGTTCAGGAATATTTCCATATAATTTCGTGACTAGTTTCAAAATGTTCCCGAACAAGTCCCGAAATGGTCAGGAAATAGTCCGGAAGTGTATTCGACTTTTGCATAACCACTCCGGGAATAGTTCAGCACAATTTCAGAACCATTTCGTGACTTGTTTCGAACTACAACAAAATGATCCCGAACTAGTCCCACACAATTGTCCTGAAGTGGTTCTAAAAAAGTCGTAAACTTGTCCCGAAATGATCTCGAAAAAGTCTTGAAATACTCCCGTTCCAAAATGATTCCAAACTCGTTCCGAAATGATCCCGAACAATTCCCAAAACGGTCCTGAAATAGTCCTTTACACGTCAATGAACGGTCCCGAAATAATCCCGAAATAGTCCCGAAATCGCATGCAAGTAAATCGCCACTTTCCCGGACGGAGCTATTTGCAACCAAATCGAATTTGTTTAAGTAGTGAAAAGCGCTTCCGGATAGACATACATTGCAGTCAGACCGAAATAAATTTAGTTTGGGACTCTAGGACTGAGGATACTGATGAGTTCGCCAGAGAGGGTTCTTCATTGACCCAAACGAAAGATCGTTTCTAGCCATTCGAAACTATGTATTTCTATGCAGTGAAACTTTTCTCTATGTTCCGGATGAGATCAGGCTGTTGCGCACTCGAACTCGTGTGGCACATAACGACCTGTTACGAAAATCATTCCCTGACGTTGCGAAGCTGTTAGCGATCCTTACTAAGCACTAACTAGTGGGCATGCACTCTTGAAGACTGGGCATTCCAGTAGCGTGTATGACGGTGGGGGGCTAATTTTTTCAAAAAGAGGAAAATCCTTCATTACGAAACAAAAGCGTACGATTAGTTAGAGCTCAAAAATTAAAAATCCACCTTAGAGATATTCCGGTTTGTTTAAAGTGCAGTAGTCTTCAACTCAAGTAGTCGAAGAATATTTGAGCTTTCGTGCAAAAAAAAGCCAACAAAACAGAGAACCAGAATAATAGTTAGTTCATGGTGGAGTTTTAAAAAAGTCACATACATTTTCGTAAAATTATAAAAGTCTCGAAAATAATTACCCTGTATTTAAATGTACTAGTTGTAAACTACCAGTATGAACCGCATGCCCAACTAGTCAGCCAACTATCTTTTTTGCATGCAATCAACTGGTATTTTTAACATGGGGATGTCCTACGAGATGGCAATCGTCAGATTTCGGTCAGAAATATACCAGTCTTATACGAGTTCAAAATAGGCCGAAAAATACTAGGCCAATTATGGACCAAAACCACTACTTTGGGAGTCAAAAATGGAAAAAATGATGAAATATATATGTGTGAGAAATTTTTTTTAAGTCTTCGATAACTATTATTTTGAGACTTAAAGTATAAAAACTTTTCATAATAATTATTACCGAGATACGGTTTTTAAGTCTTCAAAGACTTTTAGTGTGAGATCTGTATTATAAAAGTCTTTCCATAATCATTTTTAGTGAGAAAAAATTGTTTAAGTCTTTAAGGGCGGAACATGTTCAGCACCGTTTTGGGACCAGCTCGGAATCATATCGGATTGTGACTAGTTCGAAAACAATTCGGGACTAATTCGGAAGTGATCCCGAAGAAGTACCGAAAATATAACGAAAATGCACGGAAAGAGTACCGAAAATATGCCGAAAAGGAACTGAAAATGTACCGAAAAGGTCCTGAGCTATGTAGCCCCGAATTGGTACTGAACAAGTTCCGTCCTTTAAGACTTAAACAAAAGCTCTCACTCATAGTTACTTTAAAAAAGCTTTTTAAAATATAAGTCTACCAATAATTGATTCGAAAAATTTGTATCTTACTAAAATAGTTATTGATTCATCTTTATTATTTTCCTTTGTAATAGTTATGCCTCTGCAATAAAAGTCCAATAAGAATAAACCAACCAATTGAATTTAATACATTCAGCATCAAGGATATAACATTTTTAAAAAGATTTCGTTTAAATATTTTTCGCATTTAGGGCTGGATATTTTCGCGGCTGAATCCAAATTTTGGACCGCGATTCAAAGGTCGACTCTTTATTTTATTTTACTTCAACTACCCGACTATAAATTGGGCACATTAAGTAAATTTTTTCTTGTTAACCTAAATATGTTGTTATTGGAAATTAAATAGTTACATTTCTTTGTAAAATGAGCAAAAGCTAAGTTACAGCTACACTTTAGAATTAAAAAATTAATTGAAGAATATCGGTCTAGTTACAGTTGTCAGTATCTTGCAGCGGAATAATTAATCAAATCACAGCTAACATGCTGGAGACCTCATTCACATTCAAACATACACATTCACTAACATTTCCACCCTTCACAAAGCATATCCACCAGCACAACTGAATCGGAATCGTTAATTAATGTCAGCCAAAAGTTTTAACCTTCATTTTCAGGAAATAGACGAGCAATTGCGCACAATTTCATGACTGTGAAAGAAGTAGGGTGTAACGAATAGAACACTTAGTAGCGTAATAAATATACAGTGCCGAACAGAAGTATTGGCACAGTGAATTTTTCGCAATATATGCAAAGTTCTTTATTCTAATTTATTTCCGATAATTTTTTATAAAAATATTGTTCATTCTACACCAGAAAACATAATAATAAAATCCCTAAACTTTGTACAAAACTCAGGAAAATTTATTAAATTTGCACACTAATTTGCAACTTTTTATTCAGATTTTTTGGAAAAATTCTAAGTACGCAGTTTTATAGCCCATTCAAATTTAGTGTAACAAAGTGCAAGTTTAAAGTTGCTAGAAAATTGCGTTGATTTTTGTCAATTTTTTTAGTGGAAGGTGTTGCTCATTTTCTCCATACAAAAAATAATTGTCGAATTACTTTGTATGGAAGAACTTGCGCGAAAAAAACTACCAAAAATCAATGCGATTTTCTATCGACTTCAAACTTGCACTTTGTTATACTGAATTTGAATGGGCTATAAAACGGCATACTTAGAATTTTTCTAAAAAATCTGAATAAAAAGTTGCAAATTAGTGTGCAAATTTAATAAATTTTCCCGAGTTTTGTACAAAGTTTAGAGATTTATTATTATGTTTTCTGGTGTAGAAAGAACAATATTTTTATAAAAAATTATCGGAAATAAATAAGAATAAAGAACTTTGCGCATATTGCGAAAAATTCACTGTGCCAATACTTCTGTTCGGCACTGTACATATAGTATATGTATATGTGTGTGTGTTTATATGAATACAAACTTTAGTCTGTTATAAACTGAAAGATGTTGCTAATAGAGCCGACATCAATTTGAACTTTTTGGCGAACTTTAGAGATTTGGCAATTAACGTAATTGGATGCAGCAAATGAGTTAAAAGCGCATGCCGAGCCAACGTTTGTGCTAAAATTAATGTGTGATGAATAAGCACATACAAAAATATACATGCATACACATGTATGCGTAATAGACAATAATGTATACATACAAGTTTTAGTTGAATCGCCGGGTACATAGCTTTTGATTAGAGCAAAAGTTTAGCTTTATAGTTTTAAGCACTTAAGCATCGCAATTGTGTGCGTAAATTATCTTTTGTATGTAGTAATTACTTAAATTTATACTACATGTAATTTACAAAGCTTGCCAACATTATCATCAAATTCTTAATTGCTGCACATGCAAATGGTAAATACTTACTTCAAACTTAGGATACTTTCATCGAAGGCACGTCGCAAGTCTAGTGGCCTTTTATATGTTACATTCTCAGACGGAATTTTGACACTAAGCAGTCTACTCGTATTTTTTGCTTTTTTAATTTTGTCTAATTGTACTGCTTTTAATGAGCAGTGACGAGTTCAGCGCATCAGTTCAAAGGAAACTTGTCCGCTTTACATCGTGCTTGAATTAGTTGGAGTTGATCTGCCCAAAGAGATTGCAATAGGGCTTAGCAAATAGATTTTTTTAAGTGCAATGGAGATAGTATATAATTGTAAGCAAGCTGGCCAAACAGATACGTTATTTATGAAAAACTAAGTTATTTGTGGATCCTACATACGACTGAAGTCAACCTTTTTTTCCTGTTACCCGTATAGCTCAACGAAGGAGTATTTTCCGGTATAATAATTAACAACTATCATTTTTTATTTTAATCTTAACCTTAATTATGATCTTAATCCCTAACTTAATCTTAATCCTTTATCTTAATCCTAATCGTAACTTTAATCTTAATCTTAATCTTCATCATATTTATGATCAAAATCATAATCTCAATCTTAATTTTAATATTTATCTTTATCTTAATCGTAATCATAATCCTAATCCTAATCTTAATCATAATCATAATCTTAATC